TTTTTTTCTTTCCTATTTGATAAAGCCAAATGATTGAATCTGAAACTCATAGATTTAGAAAGAAAGAAAGAATTATACCCATCAAAATACGAATTAGTAACTCAAAAATTTATATAAAGAAGAAGAAAAACTTTAAAGATTGAAGGGAAATGAGGTAAGAGGAGAGGGAAAATGTTAAATTGAGAAGAAAACTGAAGAGAGAGAGAAATAATAGAGCTAAGGAAGAAGAAGAAAAGAAATTAAGATATAAGAAAGAAAAAAAAACGTATTTTCACTTGAACGTACTATATGTTCTCATTTAATGGTGTTGCAGCTAGCTTGGCTGCGCTAGAATGCAGCCAAGAACTTGCATTTTTTGGATGCTATAAATATGTGAGGTATTGAGCTACTTGTCAAAAAGAAAACGAAACTACATAATGAGTGAGACCACGCAAGTTTTGGATCAAGTTGGACCATGGACCCGTGGTGGCAATTCGGTGACTTTTATATAAAACGGATGTTCAGTAATTTTACTGAACATCCGTTTAAAAGTGACAATAAAATGTGCAAAAGTTACATAAAACGCACAAAAGTTACTCTAACAAAAGTGACACTAAATTTGACAAAAGTGACACTAGATTTAGTGTCACTTTTACGTATTTATATTAACTTTTTAAAATTTGTACTTTTAAATAAAAGTAATGATTAGAAACCCAGAACACAAGATGTGCATAAACTTAAGGAAATTTTGACTTTTGCTACCTATCAAACACATCAATTTTATTTTTGCTACCTATGAAAACTTTTATTTTATTTTACTACCTAACATATGCTCTTTTTTTAACTTTTTCTACCAGTTAACGGAATCCGTTAGGGTTCCCGTTAAGTTTATTTTAAAAATAAATAATAATAAAATTAATATTAAAATTTTAAAAAAAAAAAAAAAAACCCAAATGCCCAGCCCAGCCCTCCCGTTAGCCACTCAGCCACCCTCCCCCTGCCGGCGACGGCACCCAAAGCTGCGGCCGGCGCCGGCAACCCTCTTCCACACCCTTTCCCCACCAACACAACCCAGCCCCCTCCCTTTTCCCCTTCTTGTTGCCCCGACCCCAACCACCACACCGAAACCACAAACGCCACACACCAATCTCTCTCCTCTGTCCTCTCGGCGTTTCTCCGGCGAACCCACAATCGCCACTCCGGTTTCGAGCTCGGTTCTTCTTCAACCTCAGAAACAATTGTCCCCTACCCCCTCTCCCCACCTACCCCTTTCCACCACACGCACCACCAACACCACTACCCCCCCGACACACAGCCACACCCACCACACCCAGCCACACCCACCACACGCACCACCTTAGCACCACGCGCACCATCACACACGCACAAACCACACCTACAACCAGCCCACCACTACCCAAAAATTTTTTTAAAAAAATTATAATAAATTGATGGAAAAGGGTAAACATACCTTATGATCTTCAACTTTTGGTTTATATGGTTAAATTCGACCATGAAAACCCTAGATCTGGAGTTTTCATGGTCAAATTCGACCTAAAAACCATTAATTGGTCGAATCCGATCTAAAACCGTGGGGGTGGGTGGCGCCGAACTTCGAAAACCGAGGAGAGAGAATGAGATGGGAGGAACGGAGGAGGGAGGCGGAGATTAGAGAGAAAGATGAGAGAGGCGGTGATGAGAAAGAAAGAGAACGGAGGAGGGAGGAGGGAGGAGATGAGAGAGAAAGAGAAGGCTGGGTGTTTTTTTTTTTGGCTGACGGGGAGGCATTTAGGTGGCTAAGGCGGGAGGGGTGGCCGGAAGGTGGTAATGAGGTGGCAGGATTTCAATAACGAAATTATTAACGGATTCCGTGATCAGGTAGCAAAATTTAAAAAACGGGATTTGATAGGTAGTAAAATAAAATAAAACTTTTCCCACGTAGCAAAAATGAATTTCATGTGTTTCAGAGGTAGCAAAAGTCAAAATTTCCTAAACTTAATACTACCTCTGTTGCATATTATGTGCAACGATTAGACATTTTTTCTCTCTACTTTATGTCAAATCGTTGCAAATAATATGTAACGGAGGTAGTATTAAGATGAAGTTTACTTTTTCAAAAAATTAAAGATGTGGTATGTTCATATAAATAGCTTTAGTATTAGTCTTTTAATTCTCACATTTTCCACACATGTGTAATGATATTTGAAATTTATGGCAAATAAATACAAGTAGTCACAACAGCATTATTAGGGTTCGTTTGGTATTATTGTAGTTTTTTTGTTTTTTGGTTTTTTGTTTGTCAAAATCATACTTCCTCCGTTTTTTTTTACTTGACCCGCTTTGACTTTTATACTATTCATCACATCTCCTTTGACAGTCTTTTGTGAATGATATGTAAAAAAAAATATATTCATGTGGGGTCTTTTTGAATTCGTCTCAGTAAGTACTATCGTTATATACAACTTTTATTTTTACTTATGGAGAATTAAAGTTATTAATCTCTAAAGTTTTGCATTGGCAAGCGTGATAAAAGAAACAGGTCAAATAAAAAAGAACAGAGGAAGTATGATATATGTCTTATAATGAATTAAAAATTAATCAAACTTATTAAAATCTTGATAATTTTGAAAATTGACAATATAAAAGTGAAAATATATTTTACTTGTTTCCGGTTTCTAATATTGTTAATTGGTACAAAAAAATGTCAAACAAGCTCTAATTATAATTTTGCTGCTGCTTCATTCCACCCTTTTATTTCCCTACTCACTTGATCACTTCCCACGAATCCCACCTGACAGCATCACTCTTAAGAGTCCTAAGTCCTAACCACGTTCGACACCACAAACCTTTTAATAGAAAGTCACACAATTGGAGAGTGAGGATAGCTCAAGTAGTTAGAGCTTTCCCTTCCATCTCCAAGAAATTTTGGTATCGATTCTCACTCTTGCTCTTTTTTAAGAACAATAATGTAGGTAGATTCACTTTCAAATCTTGAACATACTTCTAGAACATTAACCAACTATTCCATACGCTAAATGATATCCTTACACGATGTAATACTTTGAACGCATAGATATATGTTGCGAAATTGTAATAGCTGTCAACTTGTCATTGTTGTATATTTTTTTTTTTTTTTTTTTTTGACAAAGGATACAAAACATTGTTGTATACTTGTTGCCTTGGTGGTAGTCATTTGTCAAAGTAACAATGTAATGTAATGTGACTAATGTCCTCCATATATTGTTTCTTGTTAAATTTGTTATTGATTCCAAATTCCAAAATCTATTGCAATTTAACATCCCCTTCAAATGACATCTGTTTTAACAAAAGTCATACTGATTGAAAGTTATGGTTGCCAAGTCATGTTTCAAGAAATTTTTAAGCTATAAACGACCTCAATTTTACATTAAATAGATAATTATAGCCAATCGCAATTGCCCATGAAGCTACGTTTTCTACAATGATGTCTACTCTTTCTTTTTTTTTTTTTCTTTTTTTGGACGGAAATGATGTCTACATACACAAGCGTATCATCTACGTTCTACCGACAATTATTTTAATATAAGCATAATTGCATTAGTCTCATACGTTTTATAAAGTATTTTTTAACTTTTATTTTACATATATAAACCGTGTAAAAGAAAAATTATATAAACTGTGTAAAAGGAAAATATATTCATTAGTGAAAACTAAAAAGTCATACGACATTTATAAAAATAAAAAAAAAATTTAACCAGCACATAATATATTGAATCAAATACAAAATACCCTTCAAATAAATTATGACAAATGCACACTATTGATAAATATAATCATTCGGTCTATCTAAAGTATTGATGACAGCTCAGATGATGAGTCATCAGGGTATTAATTTTCTGATATAACAGAATTAGTTACAACTAACTCTGATATAAAAGCTTGTATTGATAACAGATTGTTTTTATTCAATTCAATACAACTTCTCTTCTTTTCTCTCTGAAATTCTCTCTCTATTTTCTCTCTCTATTTCTTGAGTTTTTACTGTAAACATCAACATGGTATCAGAGCAGGAAGAATGTGATCTTCAATTTTGCGTCTGTTTGCAGTGAAATTAGTAAGTTTGAATCAATTTTTCCGCAAATTCTTACTCTAAGTAATTTGCTTGTTTCAATTTGATCAATCAGTAGATCAAATTTTCTGAAATCTGAAGTTTCTGTTTCAATCAGAAATATAATTCAATTGTTTGAAGTTTCGATCCAAATTTCTGCAGATTAGATCATAATCTTGAGAATTTGATCGAATTTTTTTTTTCTGGTTTGATTGAATCAATCAATCGATCTGATATTTCTACTAGACCTGATTAAAATGGCTAGTAGTTCAATTCCGATTACATCTGATCCTACTTCACCATATTATATAAATCCTTCTGAAAATACTGCTTTACCGATTGTTTCTGAGAAGTTTTCTGGAGAAGCTTTTGGCGAATGGAAAAGGAGCATGATGATTGCATTGGCAACGAAGAACAAATTAGGATTTGTGGATGGAAGTTTACCTAAACCAGATGAGACAAATCCTAATTGTGCAGCATGGAAGCGATGTGATGCAATCATAATTTCTTACATCTTGAGATCGTTAGAAAATTCAATTGCTAGAAGTGTCCTGTTCTTGAATACATCACAAGAAATCTGGAAGGATCTTGATGAAAGATTTTCACAAACTTCAGGACCTCAACTGTATACATTGCAGCAATCGTTAGCAGACTTAAAACAAGGACCAGAAACTTCAATCACTGAGTTCTTTACACAGTTGAAGGCTATTTGGGATCAGATAAATCAAATGAATCCTTTGCTTACTTGTAGCAGTTCAGGTTGTACTTGTATTCAAGTGTTCTTGAAACAACAACAAGAAGGAAGGCTGGTACAACTCTTGATGAAGTTAGACAGTAAATTTACTGCTGTGAGAACCAATATTTTGATGATGCAGCCATTACCGAGTATGTCTATGTCATATAAGTTGTTGATACAAGAAGAAAAACAAAGGCAGGCAAGTAATGCTGAAGAAGAAAATAATTGAGCAGTGGTGTTTGCAGCAGATTACAGGAAGAGTTACAAGAATCATTATCAAGGTTCCAAGGTGCCTGTAAGATTCTGGGGAGAGTGTTTGCTCACAACAACACATGTGATAAATAGGATGCCTCTGAGTTCTGTAAATTTCAGCTCAGCTTATGAACTGTTACATGGTAAGAAACCAGATTTATCACATTTAAAAGTCTTTGGTTGTTTAAGCTATGTGTCTACTTTGAAAACTGGAAGATCAAAGTTTGATGCTAGATCTTCTCCTTGCATATTTTTGGGTTACCCACTTGACCAGAAAGCCTATAGAATGTATGATTTGGAAAGTAAAAGAATAATTGTTTCAAGAGATGTTACATTTTATGAAAGGCATTTACCTTTTCATTATGAATCTCAAACAAAAACTGCAAATCCTCCTATTTTCTTGCCTGTAAACACTTCTTTTGATTCAGACACAGATTTTATTATACCAGAACCATTTGCTTTCCAAACAGAACCAAACACAATACCAAACACAGAACCAAACACAGGCCCAAATATACCCATAAACACTTTAAAAAGACCAGCTACAAATCTCAGACAGTCAGATAGACCCAGGAAGAGGCCCAGTTATCTGGATGGATATATTTGTTCAGCTGAATTTGCAACTGAACACTGGTGTAATATTGTGACTTTTGAGGTTCTTCCTACTTCAATGAAGGCTTTGATAAATCAGAATGTGCAGATTACAGAACCAGTGAGTTATTTAGAGGCTTTACAACATGAAGGTTGGGTGGAGGCAATGAAAAAGGAGCTGGATGCTTTAACTAGTAATGAAACGTGGGAGGTAGTGAATTTACCCAGGGACAAGAAACCAATTGGTTGTAAGTGGGTGTTTAAAGTCAAGTTAAAAGCAGATGGCAGTGTTGAGAGACTGAAAGCAAGGTTGGTTGCTCAGGGGTTTACACAAAAATATGGGATTGATTATCTGGAAACTTTCTCACCAGTGGTTAAAATGGCTACTGTGAGGTGTCTTCTGGCTATAGCAGCAAGCAAAGGGTGGACATTGTACCAGCTGGACGTCAATAATGCATTTTTGCATGGGGACCTTACAGAAGAAGTTTATATGAAGGTTCCTCAAGGTGTTGCAAACCCAGATAATCTAGTATGCAAGCTGAAAAAATCTTTATATGGACTTAAGCAAGCATTTAGGCAATGGTTTGCAAAATTGAATACAGAGTTGCAGAAAATGGGCTTTGAGCAATCTAAGAATGATTACTCTTTGTTCATTAAAAGGGTGAGAGAACATGTTATTATTGCTGTGATTTATGTTGATGATATAATAGTAACTGGATCTGATGAATCAGAAATCAAGAGCTTCAAGGATCATTTACATGATGTTTTCAGCATCAAGGATCTGGGAGTGTTGAATTATTTTTTGGGAATAGAAGTTTCTCACCTGCAGCATGGGATTGTGATGAGTCAGAAGAAATTTACAAAAGAGTTGCTTGAAGAATGTAATATGGATGTGTCTAAGATAGCTAAAACTCCATTGTCTGTAAGCTTGAAGTTGTCAGCAGATGAAGGTGATTTGTATCCTGACCCAAAGCATTATAGGAAGATAGTTGGCAAACTGAATTTCTTGTCACACACAAGACCTGATCTCTCCTATTCAGTTCAAACTCTGAGTCAGTTCATGCAACAACCAAGGCAGTCTCATGTCAAAGCATTAAATCATGTGCTAAGATATATAGCTCATACAATTGGACAAGGTATATTGTTACATGCTTCTGATCAGTTAACTCTGACAGCTTTTTCAGATTCAGACCGAGCAGCATGTCCAAATACAAAAAGGTCTGTAACTGGATATGTCCTGTTACTTGGAAAGTCACCAGTTTCTTGGAAGTCTAAAAAACAACCAACTGTTTCAAAGAGTTCAAGTGAGGCAGAATATAGAGCAATGGCAGCAACAACATCAGAGACTACTTGGTTAGTGAGACTTCTTACAGAAATGGGATTAACAAATTTGAAGCCTGTTGCATTACACTGTGATAATCAGAGTGCAATTCATATAGGGAAGAACCCTGTATTTCATGAACGCACTAAACACATTGAAATAGACTGCCACTTCACTCGAGACAAAGTTTTGGAAGGGCTAATCGTTTTGACTTATACCCCAACAGCAGAACAGCTAGCAGACATAATGACTAAGGCACTGGGTTCTTTACAACCCAACAATCTGAAGTCCAAGCTAGGAATGTATCCAGCTACAGTCCCTAGCTTGAGGGGGGATATTGATGACAGCTCAGATGATGAGTCAGCAGGGTATTAATTTTCTGATATAACAGAATTAGTTACAACTAACTCTGATATAAAAGCTTGTATTGATAACAGATTGTTTTTATTCAATTCAATACAACTTCTCTTCTTTTCTCTCTGAAATTCTCTCTCTATTTTCTCTCTCTATTTCTTGAGTTTTATTGTAAACATCAACATAAAGAATATATATAGAGAAATAGCAATCCATGTCGATATATTTAAGCTACTTCTTGGGTAAATGTTGATAGATTCACATTTGAAATTTAGTTTCTATTCACATTTTACAATTAAGAGTCTTTAAATTATTTCTAATAAGAAAAATATAGTCAGATGAAATCTTGTTTACTTTGATTGATGAGGACTTTATGATATTAAAGTTTTTAATACATTTGTGATTTGGGATATTAACTATCTAAAATACTATGTGTATACAAAAATGTCAAAAAATGGTGTATTAGGAAAATATTATGTAAAGCAAAAATATAAATAAAAATTAGATTTTTTTTTAAAAGTGTTTCACCTAGCTCACTCTTTGAGTTAATCCGGATCCGATGATCAGTTTTTGGTGGTTAATTTCCAATCCCCTCCCAATTGTTGTTGAAGAGGATATAGAGGGCTCGTTTGGTTGAATGTAGGAATTGCAAATTCCTTGGAAAATTGATTTCCCATGAAATTGAACTTCCTAGAAAATTCTAAAAAGTGTTTGGTTAACTAAGGGAAGTAGAAATTCCAATGGGAAGTTCTACTTACCTAGGCCCCCCTAGGTAATTAACTTCCTCCATTTTGTGGGAAGTGGAAATTCATAGGAATTTCTACTTCCCATGAATTTGTCAACCAAACAAATTCAAAGGGTTGTTTGTTTGACATAAAAAATACATGGGAAGTGAGACTTCCTAGGAATTGCAATTTTAGTGTGTTGTTGGCTGACAATAATTTGGTGAAATGGGGGAAGTGGAACTTCCTAGGAATTTTGAGTTCCCACAAAATGTAGGAACTTACTTACCTAAACACCCCTAGGTAAGTGGAAATTCCCATGGAAGTTACTTCACTCATTGTTAACCAAACAATTTTATAAAATTCCCATGAATTTGATGGTAGGAATTTAATTCCCATAAATTTATAATTCATGGGAAGTTCTAATTCCCAAGTGAACCAAACAACACCAAAGAATTTCAATTCTTAGGATTTTCAACTTTCCATGTTTTTATTTGTCAACCAAACAACCCCAAAAGTATCGAATATGAGTCCTCCTTACCAAGTGCAGTCTCATTCATCACTGCATCAACATCCAATTGATATGAGATGAATAGACTAATAAGGTGACAATTAAATCCGGATCAATGGACAACAGTTTAAACACATGAACCTCATTAATATTTTCGGAAACAAGACAATTAAGACAGCAACTTCTGAGGCCCATATAGCATTAGTCCCAATCACTTTTTCATTTTGTCCATTTTTCTCTTTTTGGCAGTTGTTCTTCAAATTCCCATCATTTTTTAGTTGTAAACTCAAAAGTCTCCATATTAATTAATTATAATACTTGCAATAATTACTTCATATAATCTGTATTTTTCTCTAATAATTATAATTATAATTGCTTTGTTAATTCCATAATCACCGCCATCTAAAACAAAATATAAAATCCAGTTGTATGTTTATTCCGCGTTTGGTTGATTCATTTGACCCCACCAAAATCACATACTTCCATCCAACGGAAACAAATCTCCTGTGATTTTCAGACCCAAACAGGGTATTACAAATACAAAGTTTTGAGGAGAGAGAAAGTGAAGGAAGAGTGAGTGAAAATGGCGAATGCAGAAGAAACTGAAGAAATGAGTTTGGAGTTTACACCAACTTGGGTTGTTGCTGTTGTTTGTTTCATTATTATCGCCATTTCTCTTCTTGTTGAACGATGTATTCATTATGGTGGAAAGGTAAATTTTCCCCAATTTATTTTTTTTATGTTTATTTTTATTGATTCCCAGATTATGTTTGATAGTGTTGATGCTTTGATTGATTTTTAAATTTTGATGGTGGGGTTTGATTTACAGTTATTGAAGAAGAAAAATCAGAAGCCCCTTTTTGAGGCATTGCAGAAACTTAAAGAAGGTAGAAATTTGATCTTTTTTTTTTTTGGGTTAAAGTTATCAACTTTTAAGGTTGTTCTTTTTGTTTTGTGGGGTTTTGAAATGAAGAATTATTGTGTTTGTTTTTTTCTTTGATGGGTTTGTTTTGATTCTAAATAATTGGGTTTTTTGAAAATAGATACTGTAATTAATTTGAAGTTTGTGTTAATGAGTTATTGTCTTTTCATTATTTGCCATTTTCAACTTTATATCTTATCAGGATTAGTAACTGATGTCAATTGTTTTAAAAAGTTGGGATTTTATGTTGGAATTTTCGGTTTTCGAATATGGATAGGGGAATATTTATAGCTTTATGTTGGTAACTAAGGTGTTTTTTGCCTTTTTATTCATGTGTTTCCAGAATTAGTTACTAATGTTTATTCATTTTAGGAAAATGAATGTTTTTTCTTTGTTAAATTGTGGGTTTTGAAAATTGGGTGTAAATCTGATGAGGTTGTGTGGAATGGATGACAGAATTGATGCTTTTGGGGTTTATATCCCTAATGCTGACAGTATTGCAAGGGGCAATCTCTAAAATGTGTATTCCTGAGAAATATGTCAGGAATATGCTTCC